TGAGGTCCCTTCCAACTCAAACCAGTCTATGTTGTGGAGGACTGTGTCAAAGGCCTTACAGAAGTCCAGATAGATGACATCCGTAGCTTTTCACTTGTCCACTGATGTAGTAACTGCAACACAGAAAGCCACTAGGTTGGTCAGGCAAGACTTGTCCTTGGTGAAGTCATGCTGGCTGTCTCAAATCACCTCCCTGTTCTCCATGTGCCTTAGCATAGCTTCTAGGAGGATCTGTTCCATGATCTTCCAGGTACAGAGGTGAGGCTGGCAAGGTCAGTAGTTCCCAGGGCCCTCCTTTCTACTCTTTTCTAAAATGGATGCAATGTTTCCCTTTTTCCAGTCACCAGGGACTCACCTGACTACCATGTCTTTTCAAATGTCATAAAGAGTGGCTTGGCAACTGCATCAGCCAATTCCCTCATGACCCTGGGATGCATCTCGTCAGGTCCCACTGACTTATGTATGTTCAGGTTCCTCCAGTGGTCATGAACCTGTTCTTCTCTCACAGTGGGAAGGACTTTGCAGTCCCTGTCTTGCGGTCCATCTACTTGAGAGGTGTGGGAAGAGAGGTTGCCAGTGAAGACTGAGGCAAAAAAAAGTTGTGGAGTACCTCAGCCTTCTTCTCTGTTACTACCAGTTTGCTAGTCTTGTTCATTGGGTACTACACTTTCTTTGACGTTCCTTTTCTGGCTGACATACTTGTAGAAGCCCTTCTTATTATTTTTTGCATCCCTTGCCAAGTTCAGCTCCAGCCATGTGCCTTGGCCTTCCTAACCCCATTCCTACACACCTGGGCAGTATCCCTATACTCTTCCCAGGATACCTGTCCCTGTTTCCACTGCCTCTACATTTCCTTCTTGCTCTTTAGTTTGACAAGCAGGTCTTGACTCATCCATGTTGGTCTCTTGCCTTCCTTTCCCGATTTCTTACACCTGGCAATTAAGAGCAACAGACCCAGTGCTTACCTGGCTGTCATATTTTAGGCAGGGTAATCTTATCCACAGATTTTCACATTTTGCCTCTTTTATTTTATATAAATTAGGAATGCCATTTCTCACATACATTCAGTACAGTCTCTGACACCATTGTGATTCAAATAAAATAAGCGGGTGAAAGAGGACCCAGGTCTATTATTCAATTAATGTGAACATATTCCTATGAAGCAGAACTACTGATTGCCTGTTTTCATTAATTCATGTACCTGTTAATAGTTTTGCCTAAGGATAACTTCATGGCATTAGGGAGTCAGGGCAAAAATTTTGAGGAGAATTCTAACAGAATGGCTAGTGTTGCTGTACTTTTCAGGGAGGAAATTCCCATCAGAAATCCCGGATTTGGGTTGGTATATTTGAAGAAGTATTTTATTATTCCAACATGTGATGCTCTCTCTTTTCATATGTATATTACTCACCCACGTATTGAGGATTCCATTTTCATCCATTGAAGCTACCTGAAATGGAGGGCCTGACATTTCTATGGAAGGAATAGTAACAATTTATATTCATACACTGACCTTCATCCTGAACAGTATCAAAGGATTCCTAGGTTAATTCTCTGAAACTTCTATGATCCTCTCAGCTTCATAAAAACCAGAAAGTGCCCTAATTCTACCAAAGAAGAAAAAGGCATGAAACTAGTATGTTCAGTTTGTCCTCTCAGACAGGCAGGTGATCTCTGTCTGCAACTTTTAAAGTGTCTGGATTCTGCATTGACTTTGGAACAGAAAATAAAGTGTAATAGATGAAATCTTGTAAAACCTGCAATATGCAGCACATTTCATCGGACTACTATGGATTTCAAAGTGAAAATCTGCAATGGAAGTAATAATATCTCCTCTAGCACACTGCCTGAGAATTTAGGGGCATGAAGATTAAAGTCTCTTTGCAAAGGCTGGTCATGAAAAAATTAGGCAAAAGGCACAGGAAGAACCACCAAGTACAGTCCCACATTTTAAGTGCTTTCAGATATAAGCAAGTTGCTCCACTGATTTGGACAGGGTTTTTCTGGACATTATAGAAGCACTGAGACTTATCTAAAGGCAGTTCTTGAGTGGTAACTTGTTTTATCATGGAAGAACAAAATTTTGTCTTGAAAACAAACATTATAACAAGCATGCACCCACACCTGATGTGAAACTGCAGTGAATGAATGTTACATAAAAATAAGAGCAGAAAAAACCATGAATGTTGCATGCAATTCATACTACAGACAACTTAAGAGTCAGAATGGAATTATAAACTGGATTTTGGCTATTATATATTTGTTTTACTAGATATATAAAGAAAGACTCAGACACAATGATGCTTTTACATACCCTTCTGATAAGAGAGGCTTGAGAGCCCATAATTCTGATCATTGTAAAGAGAGGTTGAGACAGGTTCCACTGCTAGTATAGGGGAGGTGTGGTTTACTGAGTTTAGAATGCCATCTGTAATTAAAAATAATGAAAAGTAAACACTGTATTATTTTCAACAACAACAACAAAACCCTAATCACTTTTCCGCTTATAGGAGAATGATGACTACAAAGAAGGAATGGCAAATAATGAACTCCATAAGAAATTACTTTGTAAAAGTCTGAAATACAATAATGCAAACTGTTTCCCAAATTAACAATATACTACTAGATAAATCAATGTTTCACCATTTGTATTTACTTCTCATTTTCCAAATGACTGCTGCACCATTTATGCCAGTATACCAACATTTCATTAAACCTGCCATTTCAGATTTACCATGAAAAGAATTATGCTAATTTCAAGCTCCATAAACTACAGAGGTAGAAATAAATCACTGCTCACTATAGAAAAGACAAAATTGAAGAAAAATTACTCTTACAAAGTATTATTTAACAGAAAGTAACTACCTTGAAACAAAAAATTCACCACAAGAAAATATGTATTTATGCTTTTATAACATTTTAAAATAAATGTATATTTAATTTCAAAATGCATTCTTTGTCAGATACTCTTGATTCCTGAACTTTCCCTGTGCACTGAACTTAATCTCATTTAAGATTAAAGGCATAAAGCTTCCTAAGTACACAGCATTAAAACCTGCTTGCTTATATAAGCAACTACATGAAACTGTATACACACGCTTGACTACTAGCCCACTGTGACACTTGACTACTAGCCCACTGTGCAACACACGATCAAGCATCTTTGATCTATTAAAAAAATTAAGTCTATCAACTACCAACTAATGTTCACTTTAACATGGCTACTGCAGTTAGACACACTTGTAAACAAAAGATGATTTTGTGCATGTGTGCAGCGGGTCTTTTTAGAAAAATAATATGTCACTGTCAGTTAAATAGTAGCACCTGCACACACACACAAAAAAGGAAAAATACATAAAGGAGGACCTATTTTACAATAATAAAATAATTTTTAAAAATATTGCTGTGTGTTATTTTTCACTCCAAGGTACAATATAGTGCCAAGAAATTTTATAATTAAGATTGAGAAAAATCAAGGGTCGAACTGCCGGTACGTACACCTCATTCCCAATATCTCAACATACTACTACATGCATTGAAAACTTCAGTAAGATTAATGATTTCCTGCTCTATTTAAATTTGCAATGACAAACATTGGTAATAGGCATAAAGATCCATTCCTTTCCATCAGATAAAATTGTAAGGATCTCATACACCAATCCAAATGCAGAGTGAAGTACTTTGTACTGAGTATCTTATGTATCTAGAGATACTGAATCAGAGAGCTTTTGGGCCCCAAAGTTTAGTCACAGCTTCAAAATCCCTTAAATAAAAGAGTAAAAGTAACTGATTGCTAACTGTGGAAGTCAGAATTCAACTTACTCCATTACATAGATCACCTCTGACATTTAGCCTTCATAAACCACTTGTTTCCAATGATGTGATCCCCAAAATTATTCATATATCCTGAACTAATAGTACCATAAAAAGTACAATTGTGTATGTGATGAAAATATGAGAAATTCCTAAATTTTATATTGCTACAACAATTGATAAATTAGCAATAAACAAGCACAATCCTGACTCAACTTTTAGCGTATCTAGACAGAATCCAGAAGTTATAAAGTTACAGAAATGGAATTTTAGAAATGTGTAAGGATGAGATTCAGGCCAAAGATACGGACATCTACAATGCTATCTACATTTAAGACAGCTGTATAATATCTGTAAGTGAACTAAATCTAATCAACACAATCAATCCAGCTAACCATATACAGATATCTACATTAGGATGAGATGAATAGCTCTCTAGATCACACAGAGTAGCACTGCACTGATTCCAACAGAGCTTATGCATGTATACACTTCGATAGGTACCTTGCATGCAACCTCATAGAAACATCAAGACAGGTGACAATTTGTACAGATTTCAACCTTTAAATGACATTTGAAAAAGTGTGGTTTACAGTCTTAAATTACTTTGACTTTTTTAATACATCTTAATATGTGTGTTTAGATGTAGATAAAAAAGAAATGTAGGTTATACTAAGGGAGATAACATGATGAAAATTGATTAAGCTAATCATTTCAGTAGTTGAGCAGCCCATTTCAGTATTACAATGCTCCTTAGGTTCTACATCTTCTCCACCCCTCTATTCTCAGTGCTTGATGCGTATTTAGCTGGCTTACATTTCTTAACAGCTATTACTGAGTGGTAATTTTTACTTGACTAAATATAATATCTGAACTGGATAAACCTGGCTACTGAGAAAGAGAGTTCTTAGCAGAATTAGTAGTGGAATTGTTTCACCATCCACAAAATGACTAATCAGAACACATAGATACTAACCAGTGGAAAATGTTGGAACTCTAAACGTCCAGGCAGTTTCACCAATCGTTATATGAGGGTGCATTCTTGAGTCTTCTCGAAGATCCCACACCAACAACGAACCATCTATTGTCCCAGCAAAAACTAATGTTGTTTTACTGGGACTAAAGCAGCAACATATCACCTGTTAAGCAGTAAAAAGATGCATGGTTGATATTATGAAAAAGACCAATGATTTCATAAGCCTGAAATATGTTTGATCTTCCTAGGCATGCAAATCCAGAAAAGACAGCTTACAGGTGTTTGTGGCAGAAGGACAATTTATTTAAAAGGGAAGTACAATACCAGACTTTCAGTAGGCCTTTCCTTTTCAAGACAATTGTGTAATCTGCATCTGCCAACACAAACTAAAGGAGGTGATTCAACTGTATGATGGGTAGAGAGAAGTCCTGACAACATCTGAAACAGCTATTTTACTTCTGTTCACTATTCAACCGTGAAATGGAGTAAAAATGAAAAAACAAACAAACAAAATCACCTTCACTACATTCTAGTACTGGAGCACAAAATGGAATGAGAAAGTGTTTTGCTCACTAGGTTCAAATGTGTTTCTCAAAAGATCTTGTGGCAAGACTAGAAAACAAAATACACATAATAAAGCCACTTATTCAATAGGCAACTATACAATACTATGAAAACATACCTCTGAGTCGCATATTAAAACTTTCTGTGGACTGGAGGGCTGCCAGATGTTCCAGACACATATGATGCTTTTTCTGTTCAGTAAAACACCACCTGCCTTTTCAGGTAATCCGTGAACAGAAAGTAGTGTCTGCCTCTGAACTTGAGAGACATATAGGCAGGATATTTTTCGGTCTAAACCATTTAAAAAAAAAACACAACAAAACAAACCACAAACAAACAAAGAAGAAAAGAAATAAATAAAGAAGTGAAGTCCCTGCAGATGAAGAAGCATATTTAGCTGCTATAGCAACATGCAAGGAAGCTAAGATGCAATTATGAAGAATAATTCTATTAACAGTGGGTTGCTTTTGATGCTATACAAGAAAAAAGGAAGGACTAGAGAAGGAATCAAAAAATGTAGAAGTAAGTAGAAAACAAAAAGAAGGAGAGCCAGGAAGTTTACAGAATAATTATTCTGCACATAAAGCAAACCAATCTGATCTGATGTCAGTATATAGACTGAAAATTAAGCTAAATCTCAAACAGGAAACAGCACAGGCCAGGCTTTTCCTGTTTCATCTCATGTGTTCATGTTAGAACACGTATGGTTTTGTGTTATAATACGTCTTACTGACATAATTACAAATGTTTTCTTTTTCATATTTCTTTTCATCTGAACTTTTACTGTTTATATAGGGAAGATACAGCTGCAGTGCAAATCTATCAGCCTATACTCTTCCTGTTCAAAAACCTTGCTTTATTTGCACCTTTGGCCCTACTTTCAGCATAAAGAGCCTAAACAAAATAACACCCCTTGGAATGGCCCTTCAACAACAGGGGCAAGAAATTACATCCAGAGCACCCTTATATCATGCTAATCACTGGTTATATTTCTGGTTTCACAGCAACCAGGATGCTCTGTATGCAAAACCAATCTGCAGAGTTACAGCAAGATTAGAGTAATTAAAAGCAAAGTGGGCTTTACATCATCTACATAGCCTGAGATGTGCTGTTTGCGCTTCAGTCATGACAAAGAACATGGTATTTTGCATAAGAAAGAAGAGCACGCACTGTATAGTAAAAGGTGTAGAATAAAGTTCCCTTACCATGGAGGAATGGCTGGTTAGTATTCAACTGGGAACAGCTATCACTAATAGACAGACTGGTTTGTTGAGATCTTATTTTCCACGTGGGTTCTGTTGCAACTTGATCTTCCTCTAGCAAAACAGCAATCACCTTTCAAACATAATTACATTTACAGAAATAAAAGGGTTGTCTTATCTTTCAGCTTTGCTATTTGCAGCTTTCTAAAGTATGTGGATTAATTTAACAAATCTTTATAACCTCTTGTTAATTTTATATCTTTGCAAGTATGGCTTTAGAGATATAAATGTTGCACAGCGCTGGTTCCATTCCTTTGCAGAGAGATGAATCTCACTGATAGTAAGTATTACTTAAATTAGTCAGAACAAGTAGCGTAAGTGATATATCACACTGTATACTTATTCACACATCTCATAAGGGATATTAAGAGCACAAAATGTACCTGGCAAGCAGACCGGAGGAAGTTTGCTAATCTTTGTGAATCAATTTTAGGTGTCAGAGCTCCATTCACTGACATATCCTGGCTACTTATGGGACCTAAGAGAAAACCAAAACCAAAACCAAACTTGAAGCTTCAAAAGGGAATCAATCAAGAAAACTGTAAGAATAATGTAATTTTTAAGCAAGATGAGCGTGGCAGGAATCAACTTCTCTTCAGCAGCAATAACAGTATTGAAGAACGAGATCTGTTGGGGAATTGCATCTGCTGCCAACAGCAATCCAAGAGGAAGAAACTATTTCTGCCACTTATTCTCCACCCCCTCTACGACAAGATTCACTGTGCCTATAGCTGTTTGCTACTGATGCAGCCTGCCACATTACAAATTCTGCCAATAGGTGAGTTCAAAAGAGAAAGTTTACAGGCATACATCCGTGAATGACTAAGATTAAAATGTTCTTCACCTCCAGATACAAGGGCACTTTCTCCTGGATGCTGTGTCCATTTCTCCAATGTCTCAACTTCTTCAGTCTGAACGTCTCTATCAAGATTGTCCTCGTTACACTGAACATATGCCTAAAGCAGGAAGATAAAGTGATCAATATATGTGCTAAGAATGACAGCACATAACTGAATAGAACTTAAACAATCATTTTAAAACTGATGTGCCCAACCTCTTCTGTTTGTAAATTCAGACCTAAGCATACTGACACGGTGTCACTATTTTGTGCATGCACTCTTCACCACATTTTGCACAAGAGTGCTAGACCTACTGCAAAAATACAGAATGTCTTACATTATGCGTAAACACTAAGCCCAGCATACCTGGGACAGAGAGCCACAAAGATATAGAAAGGACTTTACAAAATGGGGAAGGAACACAAGTGAGTCCTCTTCCAATACAGAATGGAAATGGTCTGTGTGGCTAAAAAGTTTTGGTATCATTGCTTTATGGTAATTAAGACTTAGAGATGAAAAATATTATTGTATTACTTTACTATCCTATTAGCTTCAGTAACTTTCTTTTGTAAAGAAAATTATTTTCCAGAAAAGGAATCAGCACTTTCAGGATTTAATACTACTACATACTTGTTACCCACCTGCTTAGTGTTCATTTTACCAAAATTCCTGATGTACATGTCGTACTCATTTACAGGAGGCAAATCCAACAAAGAAAAACTAACTGAGAAGTCCAGATCAATTAGTGGGAGAAGTTCTGAACTCCGTTTTCTTTAGAATGAATTACAAAAGAGAAAGAAAAAAGTGGTTAAGACCAAGTATTTGGCATTCCAAAAGAAAATCAGCCTGATTTTGTACAGTACCACAGATCTAACAATCCATCGATCTATGTGAATTGAAGCCATACCAAAATTAATCGTTAAATAAAAACACATCAATAGAAATACATATAATACTGTCATGAGTTCTCAATATTATACTGAGATAATCATATTTGAAAATGTAATACTGATTGCAAACAGCAAACTTACATGGTTTATTATAAAATAAACCCAAACTCTCAAAGCCTAGCACCATCATCTTGCCTAAGTATTCAAAAGCTGTTCTGTGAGGTAGCAGATGAATGTCACTTTTTTCCTATAGTTAGAATGGTGATTAATTCTCCTAAACTCATTAATTTACATCATCTATATGTGTACATCTATAATGTACTGATTTTGTTAGACTTATTCAAATGTATTCTGAATGACCTTCATTGGTGATAGACTGCCTGAATTTGTACCACCAGGGAAACAAATAAAAATAGCAGTAATCCTAAAACGTATTTTCAATATATACATGAAATAAATTCATTGCTGATTCATAACCTGTGGACATGAATACTGACCCCCTCAAAAGGAGGCCTCTCAAAAAACATTAATTTGGACTACTGGACTTGATCTAAATTGTATGAAAATGAGTACTCAGGACTAAGATAGACTATGTATTTTCCCACTTGCATTTTTGGTTGAGAATAAGATTAGCACATTGTACAGTATTTGAGATACCTTAATCTCTTTGTCCTATGCAATGCCAAATATTTCCATCTTCCTAAATTCTGTATCTGGAAAAAAACCTCACCTGCCTTATCCAGCTTCCCTCAATCCTTTTACTTTCTGCCTACCTCAATTCTTAATTTTGTCATCTTTGCTCACAAATAAAACTATTGTGATTCATAATTGGAAAACAAGTCTATCTTTATATACTGTATCTTATTCTGACAAGATGCTAAAAACATTTATGGGATATTTCTTACTATCATTGACTACAAAGAGATTCCTAACGCTCCACTTATATGGATGTGTGGATAATGAAAAAACAGTCAATTTTTGTCTCAATTTACACAACTATCTGCTTTAATGTCATAAAGCTATTATTTTAAGAGTTAATTGCTTGAATTACATACAGATGTCTGTTTACAAGTTAATTCCATGGCCTCGCTATAGTACAGATTTCTTGGAAATGAGAAAATTTTTTGTCAGTTTTCCCCTTTCTCTTTCTTGCACTTTCAGGGTTTTTTTTAATATCTTTAATATAAATGCAACCCAGATACAATTATGGATCTGTAGCAATTCCATATCTAAACAGTCTTCTAGATGCGTATTCTAGTTGCAATTTCTTCTCCGTAAGATGGTCCTTGAAAAGGGAAAAGACTACAGCAACATGAGCTGGAATTGCTCCTCCAGTATTTTAGGCTGGATTTTTCTTTATGCATAAGGACAATTTTCACATCTCTTTTTTTGCTACTTAATGACATTGATCCAGTTTTCTTACCAACATTTTATTTTTACTTCTACTTCCTAATACACCACTTCTTCACAGACATTGTGGGCACAGATTGCTGACACCTAATTCAAATGTACGAAAGTTGCTTCCTAGTTACAAATCTTAATGATACATGCAGACAAATCCTTAAAATAAACTAATAAGCCTCATATTCATACAACTCCAAAGTGCCACAGCTTATTTATGGGATGCTTTCAGTCTATTTACTGGTAGAAATGTATTATCACAGCATTAATTTCCACAAACCCTTTCTCTTTCCATGAAAACTCTGGTTAGCTTCACAGGCTATACACATTGTTAGCATGTACACAAAGTTATATACATAGTCATGATCAGTCATAGCACTTGATTAGTAGAGGCTGACAAACATTTCAGAAGGCAATTCTTCAGCGAGATGCCTTCCTGAATTTCTGTCCTGGTTTCGGCAGGGATAGAGTTACTCTTCTTCCTAGCAGCTGGTACAGTGCTATGTTTTGGATTTAGGATGAGAACAACCTTGACAACACACTAATATTTTAGTTGTTGCCAGGCAGTCAAGGACTTTTCAGCTTCTCATACTACCCTGCCAACAAGAAGGTGGAGGGCGCCCAAGAAGCTGGGAGGGGACACAGCTAGAACTGCTGACCCAAACTGGCCAAAGGAATATTCCATACCATAAGATGTCATGCTCTGTATATAGCTGGGAGTTGGCTGGGAGGTGGGGCAGCTCAGGAACTAGCTAAGCATTGGCTTTGGGTGGTGAGAAATTGTGCTGCTTATCACTTGTTTTGTATATTCTATTGTTATTGTTATCATCATCTTCCTTTTCTGTCCTATTAAACTGTCTTTATCTCAACCCACAAGTTTTACCTTTTTTTTTTTTTTTATTTTTTGATTCTCTCTCCCATCTCACTGGCGGGGAGGGAGTGAGCAAATGGCTGTGTGGTTGTTTTAGCTCTGGCTGGGTTAAACCATGATGATTTCCTAATCTGTCTCCACTGTCTACATGAACTCATGTAAAATTTGGGCATATAAATTTAGGCAAGGTGAATTAGACAGACTAGACAATAAGATCTCCTTTATGTGAAGATTAGCCACTGATATATAGTCATGGAGCAGTGGAATCTAGTATTACCAATAAAAATCAATATTCTTGCTTTATGCATCCAATTGATGTAACAGAAAATTGGAGATATATACAGTGCTTCAGATAAATCTGGAGCTCCTGGCAAGTTCCACAAGAAACAGGCATCAATTTGTTTCTTTAATACAGAGCTGTCTGTCTCCAATCTAGATCAATTTTAGATCAGTAATAATGTGATTTTACACCAACTGGTGTTATCCCTGAAAAGGAACATGCTATTTTGGCAACAGTATGTACCATATAAAGTCTTGATTAATTCAAGAAACTACCGTTCTGCCAAGTCCTGAGGGCAGCTAAAAGGCCTGCTCTTTAGTACTACAAGTCAGTATCTAATTAAGTGACTGAAGAATTATACAAAGAGATTACAATCCTGGCAACTCATTCTGTAATAAAATGATACATATAAACTGATATATAGATAAATTTCTGTCATAAAATGACATGTAGCAAAGCCTGTAAGTTTTATTTATTTATGAACTAATTACTGTTAGCTTACAAAATAATATTTGACTCTAAAATCTTCAAGTTTATAAACTTCAAATATTTCAAATATAATGAAAAAAATTACATCTTACATAGTGAATTGCCATTTTGTGTGGATTACTTATAATATACTTACTTCTGCTTATTAGCCATACTTCGGCTACTTTGTCGTTGGTTTGCCATTTGAAAATCCATGAATATTCCACAAAAAGAGTTTCTGACAGAAGGGTATTGCCTTTCTGTTATATTATAAAACATTGTTAGTGTTATAATTCACACTTTACAGTGCATTAAAATGTAAAGTAGTATGTCTAAAAAGCAACAGATTTATTACAACACAGCTACTAAAAGTTACTAGTTCACACATTACACAATGTGCTCTAGCACAGCTGTCAGTACAATAAGCTTCTTAACTTCAGCAACGAGCCAGCATTTTTCCCTTATTATGGTCCTTTACCAATCAATTCAAAATGACTGACCATTGTAATTTTTATTTTAGAAGACTATGATGCAGTAGTGCCTCTTTCTTTCTCCTGCCATTAGCAGGTCCCTTGTTCCCCTGTGTACAGTAAAACACTCTAAGACCAATTCTAAAAGTCAAATCAAATTCACACAGACTGCATCATGCACATGATACAGGTCTAAATAAGAATTCACCACTACAGCTAGAGGAGAACCTCATCAACACAAGCTTAACTGATGCCCCTGGATGAATAAGTGAGACATTGAAAATTGTTGCTTTAAAAGCCACGGTTAATAGAACAACTACAACATCTGATGTCATGTCAATTTTACTCCCTTGCCTGGCTAGGTGGTAGCTAATTGACCTTAATATCCAACTTCCAGTCGGGACCACTGGTGTTTCACTTCCTCAGCAGAAGACTGCTTTTTTAGAGAATAATTGTAAATGCTTTTAAACTTCAAAAATCATTACCAGAATGATCAACAACCATTTTAACCAAGTGAGATTAAAATTTCATTAAAAAAAAGTGTTGTGTAACTTACAACAAAGCAGTAAGTTCTACAATACAGAATTTTAAAATCTGATTCTATATTAGAATTTCATTCTGTTCATTAGATCTATAGCATTAATGGAATTCTTTCATTGATTCCATATTGTTTATTAGAAAAATAGTAATTACATAAATCTTCTGCAAGAAGAAATTCATATTACAGTATATTGGTTCTGACTTAACTGAAAATATATTGATACCGTAAAGACTTACAGAAACTCCATGCTATTCTTCCGTGACTGTACTAACTTTGTACGAACTAGAGTAAAAAGCTGTTTAAGATTCTTTTGCACAATGATTCTACACTGCCATTCATGTATGTGAACAGTGCGAAGGGGAACCACAGCTCTAGTTAGTTAAATAAGTAGATCTGGTATTCACAGGTATCAGATCAACTGAATACAAGTCAATAATTCCATAGTCATACTTCAGAAAAAAACTGCATTTTAAAAGTGATACAGAACTATATATTTAAGTAGTGTCTGTATTTATCTCGCCTTCCCACCCAGAGCAGTGGCTTCAACTTTGCTTAACAGAAACAGGCAAATTAATGTCACCGGAAGCCCCAGACTGTTCTAGCACTCCTCCAGTTTTCGAAATCCAGACTCTCATATCCTCCTCTTACCCAAAATAAGACATATTAAATGTCAGTCTGTAAATTTTTATACTTCACATTTTAAATGATTAGTAATGCCTCTGAATCATTCTTTAGCAATGTGAAAGTTACAGTACTTACCCACAAATTTAAGTGACTCATCCAGAGGACCAGATTTCTGCCTTTAGGCAGAGTTCTAGAAAAAGTGGCCTGTTTACTTGTAAATTGTATGTGTTACTCATACATTTAATAAAAAAAAATAAAAAAGGACTGGTATCTAGTCACATACCCACAATTGGTTCCTTTTTTTCATTTTCAGTTTTTGGCAGTGAAGTACAAATTCTATCATTTTCTGCACTAATTGCTCTTTGAATTTCTTCAATTTCTGATGTTCTGGAAAATGGAATCTCTCTTAGGTTTTCTTCTGCACCTCCTTCTTGACCACTTTTGTCTTCATCATCATCAAAATCATCTTCATAATCCTTTAAAAGTAACAGGACTTTCAATAACTAATAAACATGAATTATAGACGTATTTTTCACGGTCTTTTTAAGAAATTATAAAATGCTGTCAAAATAAAAATAAAATTTTCATATAGATGGCTATAAATCCTCATTCTAAAATAACTGATAGAAAGAAAATGGCATGTCTTGATTGTGTGGTAATTTTAATCAAGAGAAGACAATCCCACAGTGTTTTTCTTCAGTGCCCAAAATAGATTCCTTTTTTTAAAAAAAAATAAATCTTAAAGTAGTAACTATATGTTTAAGTACATTATGTGTTCTTTAAAGAAATAAAATGACAGTGTTCAGTGGCATAAATGCTTCATAGATGTATAAAGTTGTTTATTTGACAGTTTTAATTCAAGCTGCCCTTGAATGGCAGGCTCAAATTTACTAAACTATATCTGTTTGCAAGTCCATGCATAAGGCTCATACTTTGATAATTCTCTTAACTAAGACAATTCATTTCATGCTAAAATAATCACCTAACAAAAATTATATGAGTAAGTCTTAAATGTGCTCATTTCTCTCCACTGAATGGTAAAAGGCTACTATAGTAAACAGCTCAACAGTCAACATCACTCCTAATGTAAGTGGAGATGAATTCAACTTGGCTGAACAAAGATGTAGCTGGCTCAGCTATCAATGAAAGCACATTCGACACACTCTTCCATCTTAGTAACTTTAAAGGAACAAGAGAGCTAAAAATAACAGAGTTCAACTAAATTAGTGAAGGCACTGCTGCTTGTCAATATTTTTTTCTACAATACTTTTGCAATGAAAAACAACAAGGCTTTTTCCCCTCCTGAAACTGATTATTTGCTCTCATTATTTTAAAAAAAAAAAATCAGCATTTTTCACAGAAAACCATTTAAATAACTGAAATTGAGGAAGACAGAAAGAGCATCATGTGAAGACTTCAACTCAAAAGCAAAAGTTGGTTCCCAACCCCTGATGCAAAATAAGTAAATATATAGCAGAGAGTTTCTACATAACATTTTAGTTACTGATTATCTCCCGTTAGGCAAGTTAAGGTCACCGTCACCAAAAAAGAATTAGGAAAAAACATGTAACATCCTGTAATTTTTATTTCAATAAATAAATATTTTTGATACTTGAGAATTACTTCAAAAAGACAATTGTATGCTTTTACTTACTTCAAAATCATCTTCATAATTTGCTGAAAAGTTATCAAATCCCATGTCTGAATTATAGATGTGTGTATCTCTCATTTCCTAAATGAGAAAAATAAATGAAACTGTTAAATAACCTTACAAATAATGGAATCCTTATCTGCCAAATCTTAGCATAAAGATAGATGAATGTTTCTAGATATTCAAGCAAACATACAATAAATTCAGTTTAGGAATATAAATAAAAGTGTATGAACGAGTGATAACTATTGACTTAAAACTGTAACGCAGGAAAACAAAACAGAACTCAACCCTATCTTGGGAAGACCAACTGGTATTTTTACTGGGAAAGACATAAAAACTGCTGTGTTTCAATAGTATACAGTAGCTCTTACGATGGGTGTAGCAATAAAATAAGACTCTTCTACTTTTTTGAGGATTAGACAAAATTATCCCTATACGTGAGTTATACTAAGGGGACTCAATCTGTTAACAAAATAGTGCAGATGTTGTAAGCAGAAAAACAGAGATACAGATACAACAGGTAAATACGATTTTTTATACATAAATAATTTTGTTAACACTGAATCCTCTACTGTATTTATATGGAATAAGATTTATGGCATT